TATCCTCTTCATTCTCTTCTGCCCTTGCCCCCCCCCCCCTCCCGTCTCACTCCCTCTAGCTCTCTTAGTTCTTGTTCGTAGCTCGCGGTATCGTAATTGATGATAATTCGATTAGCACGACAAGATTGGACTGATTTTATAAGCAGCTTCGGGAGATTTTATCCGAATTACTTTTGCTTTTATTTATGAATCCGTTAAAAGGTATCGAATGTACAAGTTCTTTTACGATGGAATTTGCATTTATCTTCTTTTTCATTGGCTATATTATAAACTATTCCAAAATTTTTGTATTTGTATTTTAAATGACGAAATTCCGTTATTTTTATGCCGATAAGTTTTTTTTTTTTTTTTTTTTTTTTTTTTTTTTTTTTTTTTGATTTTTGTTTTCTTATTTATTGATTTAGCATTCAATTAATATTTAATCTATCTAAATATAAAAGAATTTGTACTTTTCAATAAATTATTTCAACCATATGAATTAAATCAAGTATAATGTTTAGAAACATTTTTTATAATTTAATTACAGAAAAATTAAGCATTCGTGATTCATGTCAACTTATATCCGATAACATAAGTTGGTAATTTTTAAACTTCTTTAGCTCAATTAACGTTTGTTTACCGTGTTGTATTATGAAGGAAAAAAAAGAAATAAAACTAAATTATTAATGATGTATGAAGCTCGCGTAAGAAATATAATTGTAAACGATGTTTAGCACACCGGATATCTTTCTTTTAATAGTTTAAGTCCCTTTCTTGCTTTATCAATGCTAAACAAAATTGACTCATTTAATTTTAAAATGATTACGATCACTTGAGATAATGATTTATCTTTATACTAATAATGCACTAATGAAAAAATTAGATTACCCTAACAGTGGTAGTTATGTAACGTTTTTGCAAATTTAACACAGTTTATTTGTGATAAAATAGCATTACAAAATGTTTCCCATAATTAATTTAAAAGAATATTTTTTTTTAAATACGCTTTCGTAAGTATTAATTTGTATTGATTAAATGAAAACTTGCACGCAAAGTCTGAAAAAGGTGAATTGCAATAATGTTGAAAGAGAAAAAAGAAATAAATGAATAAAACAAGCATGTTCAAAGTCAAAAGATTTTTATATTAGCTAAAAGTAACATCTTTTGCAAATAGAAATCGCAAAATAATAATAAGTGACTCGTTTCTTGATAATACGCGACAATGTGTTGGGTTAATTTTTCTTCTTCGTCTTCCACTGCTCCCCACCACAACCCCATGCTCCCATCACACTCCATTGTTTCTGTAATAAAACGAGCGCGCTGACCATTAAGCTAATCAACAAAATTTCCATAACTTCTCGATAATATAATAAGCCAGAGTGGCTTTGGTAATTTCATAATGCTATAGTTAATGCACGCCGAAAGTAAACAAACAGCTCTATCGTTAATTATGTCGGTAAGATATCGCTTAATCCTCAAAAGGCAGACGCGAAAAGGTGGAAAATGCCCGGTATCTTAAGAGGCCTTTCAGAGCCTATAAAGCATGCGCCACATAAAAGCGCGACTTTTCTCGACAGGTAAAAATTGAAAGTACTTAATTATTGCAGTTTATCGAGCAACAATCTTAATTGATCCGACGTTTATTGCATCCGCCCGGGAGCGGTGAAAATGCAGTGGCGCCGCGGCGGTCGGCTTTGCGCGGGAGAGACGCACATTGTGCCGACACACCGCACATGTGTACGTGCGCGAGTCCGATACAAATTACTCGCCGACGACACGTGAGATCCGGCGCCGATACTAACGATTTTCCAATTACACGCCAGGCTACACCTCGAGGAGCGAGCCGCAAAGGAAAATACTCGACTGTTCTCTCACGCTTGCGCCCTCTTTTATCCCTGCCTCCGAGATTTTTGCCCATTGGACCAACAATCTCGCACTGCGAGGAGTAAAGGAGTTGGCAGCAGCAGCAAGCAAGGGAGTAAGCACCTTATTATTATCCATAATATTTACGTTTCATTCTCATATTTTCCATTCGTCGCTACTAATTCTCTATTCCATACCAGACGCAGTTTTTCATTTCATCCGCCTCCCCTTATCCGTCGCTGATCCGTTACTTTAATATTCTCTTAATTACACCTGGATTTCTATAAGCATATAATTTATGATTTTAAAGTTTAAATTAACTTTGTTTAAGTGTACTTTGATATTAGTTTGTTGTACAATTGTATTCGAGCGAGTCGCTATCGTTCGTTCACTATCAATTAACATTCCGTGTCGAGGTTATGCTAGTGTACTTATACCATTACAGATATTCTCGACGCTAATGCAAATACATTTTTTCGTAAATCTAAGCTAGTTAATATTATCATAGAAGCATTAAAAAGTGCAATTATAATCAACGTTTAAAAGAACAACCGATAATGGTGTGAATAGTTTGCCACGCAATAAATTACTCACCTAATGAGACTAATTGATGCTCCACACTTTTAGCGAACTTTTAGCGAAGCTTTAACATTCGAAATTGATAAATAAAAAAAAGAAAAAGAAAAAGAAAAAGAAAAAGAAAATTTATGCAGAAAATCTAATTTTATGTTTCATCTATTTGACAAATAAAATAGAACAAGTTAAAATCAAAAAAAGATTAACTTTTATCCCATTTCCCGCACAACGATTGAAATGTTAACAAATTACAAAATAATTCGATCACAGTTTAGTGACAAAACAAAAAATCAGGTGTACTTGTATCATATAATTTGAAAATAAAATTCTACTTTTAAGATTCTAAGTAATTGATTAAACAGCACGATTAAAGTAATTTTCCCCTCCAATCAAAGTAGAATTAGATGTTTGATGCTCGAGATTCTCCACCAAGGTACATTAAAGTATAAGTATTCGTTAAATTCCTACGAAGGAGCAGCAAGAAGAGCGTAGAAATGCCAAATGTGCGCTACGGATTATTAAATTTGCATTCGAGAAAGCTCCCGTTACATACATCTCATTAATCTCGTAATTCGGCAACCTTGAAACAATTACAAGAATATTCGATTTTTACAATACGTTGATCATAATCGACGTATGTAGTAAAAAGCTTTTAAGATCAAACATATCCTCTTGTCGTTTCCAACTCGCTAATATCATATTAATAGCTCTCGCGTAACATATTCATGTGCCTTCCTCGCACGCCCGGTTGTTCTCCTTAATTGTCGAGCCGACATCTCGAATCGAATATTAATTCACACCGACCGGTGCGACCTGCAGAATTAGCCGACACGTCGCCCTCCTCCCGTTCCACTTTTTCTTTTCCCCGTCGAAACACGCATGCATACGCGGGTGCGCGCGCGCGCGCGCGCTCGATCGCTCGCTCACGAGAGAGAGCGAGAGAGAGAGCGAGAGAGAGAGAGAGAGAGAGAGAGGGACAGAGAAATAATACACGAGAGAGGGTAATCTGCGAGAAATCAAACCGGCGAACGTCCTGCCTCGCGTAGATAATCCTCGTTGGCGCTAATCGTCCCTGGCGTATCAAGGTGAACGAGCGGCGCGCGCGCGCGTGCAGCGGCACCTCGGACGATCTCTGCCGACCGTCGGCCAATTATGGCCGCGTGGGGTAAGGATGATATTAGCGGCGAACCTTCGCGTTTACAGGACAATGCCGAAGCTCCGCGTTCGGGCGGTGGCGGTGACGGTGACGATGAGAGCTGACGGTGCGCGATAGATTAGAATGAGAGAGCTGCAGGTCTATTGGCAGTGTGGTCTGATAAGGGACAGTCTGGCTTATTAAGCCGTGTTTGAATATAAAATCGGGACGACTATTGGACGTTCTCTTGGCATAGCCTTGACACATGACTTTAAGACAAATGCAATATTTACGATCCGTTAGCTTTTTAAGATTCGTTGGCTCTTCGTATGCCCGTAACGATCGAATCAACGAAAACCCCAAGATCGTATCTTACTCGTTAAGGAATGGACAACGCGCAGGGGATTAACGGTAATGTCGGCTATCCTCAAGCTTCTATTGGCAATTTTTAATCCGTGGATTATGTATTGTGTCGCGCACTATCCACGTATTATTTAAATAAAGCAAATCCATGAAATTGGCAGCCAATACGACACTCTATTATATAATTCGCTGATGATTAAGAAAAATATGTATCCTATAAATATTATGTTTTTCGTATTATGTCAAAGGCTTGACAACATTGTTTATGTAGAATTTGACATATCGCCGATCCGTGGCATGTTAAATTGCGTAACTGTGCATAAAGTTTAGTTGCCGTTGATTAGAATTTCAAATTTCGCTTGTCAGAGTAAGAAATTTGTTCGACCATTTTATCGTCGTGTACAACAAGACTGCAACTTTCAAATTTACTTCTTAGGCAAGCGAGTTTTACATATTTCCAGCATACGAAGTAATAACAACACATTGGAATTAGAATTAAACAAATAATCTTAATGGCGAATGCCAAGAATTGTCATAAACAATTCGTGAAATTCTATTTGCTAATACGCGATTTAAGAACTAATTTATTTATTGGAATAAGGAGACGAGCTGCGTATCTCGTTTAGTCCGGATATTGATAAAAGCTTGCCAGTCGAATCGCTGAAAATACTCGTGTAATGGAGCATTTTATTGAAAAATCAGATTGCTGAAAGAATTTTGCTTATGCTGGCTTAACAATTAATATCAAGGCCACGTCTAATTAAAAGCATCACGCAATCAATGGGCCATTAACGAATAAACGAGTGATTAATTAAATATCTCGCCTACTGAAAGATAAGCCATGGGGAATCGTGAATGATAATGTGTATAAATATACTAACCCGTATTGTCCTGGGAATCCTTCGTCGTCTCCTCGATCTCCCGCTTTCGCTTGCAGCCGGTCGTGATCGCTCGGCCGAGGATGGCGTCGATGCTATGCCTCGGCGTACTGGTCGCCGGCTTCGGGCTCACCTTCTCGCCCTTCTCCGTCGCGCTCTCGACCAGCTGCTGTGAATCCATCGCCAACAAGGTCGTCGTCGCCACGGATATCATCTACGAGCTTCTAGCTCCTCGCCCGGATCTCGACTCTTCTCTTACGCTCCTCGGCGCCGCTTCGCCGTCCGAAAATCCGTGACCTCGTGTACCAGCCTACGCACACGCAGCGCGCGCTTTCCCGTCCTCAACGAAGCGGGCGCGTGCACATTATACCCGCGAATCGACACCGCATCTCGCTCCTCCTCCCACAGCTACTTCATCGGGTCGATCCTCGATCGCGATTAGGGATGCACCGCCTGCGGGCCACTTCTAAGTCATCGCTCGCTGCTACGCTTACCGGTTACCAGCCAGACGCGAATTCACCGTCGCGATCCTTAATCTCAACGAGCCTCAATTGCCTACGAATCTCCGCGCTCTTCCATCAACGCTGCCTGTCTCCTCCATAGCTCGGCCAACACCAAACCAATTATTTACAATCCCAACTTACTTCCCTGACTCGCGCGCCTATAATTGATTAGAGTCAGTGAGAGGTAGCGGGAGGTAGTGTGATAGAGGGGGAACGAGCGCGTGAAAGATAGACAGGGAGAGACAGGGAGAGTGAGCGAGTGTGTGGGTGAGAAACAGTAGTTAGCTAAATCAAGCACGATACGAACGTAGGAGGCTCCTCGCGCGTACGACAACAACGCGGCAGTCCACCCCCGCGGAAGGAACGCACGGCAATGGAACGCGCGAGTCCTTTGCGAATGAGAGAAGGGTGGGCAGGCCAGCGACTAGAACGGCGGCGACGACGAACTAAAGAAGAAAAGGCTCGGCCTCGCTCGTCGTCTCCCCCACCCCACCCTCTGCCGCTCTCCCTCTCTCTCTCTCTCTCTCTCTCTCTCTCTCTCTGTCTCTGTCTCTGTCTCTCTCTCTATATATATATATCGTTCGCTATCGCTTGCTTGCGGACACGCGCACGCTCGCGTTCTCCCTCATATTCAGTCTCTCTTTCTCTCTCTCTCTCTCTCTCTCTCTCTCTCTCTCTCTCTCTCTCTCTCTCTCTCTATCTGTTTCTCCGTGTCTCATACTCTCGCGCTCACTTTCTCATTTACTCTGGCACACGCTCGGATCTCCCCACTCGCCGGCGGCACCTGGTCACTGCGTATTTCGGTGCCGATAGAAGGGGGTGGGGGGAGGCGCGTACGGCAAAACAGAGGGGCGTGGCAGGAATGGAGCCAATAGAGAGGCGCTGATCTCGAGATGAGAGCCAATGGGTGAGAGGAGCGGAGGAACATGGCGGGACAGTGGCGCTCATGCGCCGGCATGTAGGAAGAGAGGGCAGCAGAGGGTTAATAAGGATGCTGCATGGATATGCGGCTCCCGCTGCCGTACGGGGTGCCCTTTATAAGTAAGAAGCTGCTGGGTGTACACGTGTAGATGTGTGAGCTCGAAAAAGGGTTTGAGAAATTTTCAGTCGGATTTATTAAATAGTTAAGCCAGAGCCGAGGCTCTCGAGTGTTTGCAAGGCCTCCGGATGTGTATTTACTGGATACGACTTATCACTAGTACTGAAATGATTATTATGCAATTAGCTTCTCTGGATACTTCACTTTCTCATTAAATTAACCTCTTTGTGCTTGAATATTTTTTTTAATTTACTTGATTTATTAGCTTTGTCGAATAGTGTTGGTAAGGTCGTTTGGACGCTCGTAAAACCATTATTCATAAGCGAAAATTTGAAACGCTAATTATCATTTTTTCCGTTTTTTTTTTCCTCAAGTATGGAATCATTGCCACATTCTCGAAGATTAATGCAAAATCGTCGTGAACTAAATCTGTTGTATGAATGTTTTACATTACCTTTGAAACTTACTAACTATATTGTCAACAAATAATGTCAACAAATTATAAATATTTATTGAGCAAAAAATATTCAATTAATAATTTCTATAACAGCGTTAAGTTAATGTTCGTCTCATGTTCCATATGGTATGAAAAAAAAAAAAAAAAAAAATTTGCGTTTTTTCGATTACACATTACGTTTTTCGAAGCACATGATTTTTTGTTAAAAATTAAAATTAACTCCTATTAAGACACAAAATATTAATAGAATTTAGAAACAATACTTATTCATCTATTCGCAGAATATTTATACAATAAAACTTATAATTATATAATATTTATATGAAGTTTAACATTAAAATTTTATTAAATTGTAAATCATATTTAAAATTTTTAATATTTACTTAAATTGAAAGTGATTTTTTTTTTGTGGAAATTTATTCAAATATTTATTAAATTTAAATTATAATTCAATTTTAAAGATTTTTAACACGAGCGATGTACATGTTTAATAATAAAGATTCTCATAATGAAAAGTGACAGCTTATATTAATTAATTCCTTAATTCTTGTTAAATATATATTTTCAATGCACCTAAAGATGTCATTATTAAAATTAACAATAGGATAAATAAATAAATAAATGATAGAATGTAGTAATAAAACAATATTTTAATGTACCCAATGTAAATTAAATGTCGAAGAGTATTTTGCATTAAAAAAAAAACTAGAAAAATTCGTTAAAATAGAAATATAAATAATAAAGAAACAAACAAATCTTTGTTTTCTGCATCTAAAGAAAAGCGAGACATGATTGTGATTTCAACCCTTGAAGAATTTTTCACGCACGGGAACGAGCGACGGAGAGAGAGAGAGAGAGAGAGAGAGAGAGAGAGAGAGATTTTGTGTGTGCGTGTGCGTGTGTAAGTGTGTATGTGCGTGTGAGCGCGAGTGTCTGTGTGTGTGATGGAATGAAATAGGGAGACAGAGATAGAAAGAAAGACAAAGAGGATAAACAGAGACAAAGAGTTGAAGTTTAAACTCGTGATCTTCCTCTGTACGGACGAGCTCTTGGTGTTTGATTGTATTGCAGTCGAGAGAACATTTGGGAATTGTTTGATCCTTTGATCCTATGAGTTTGTCATATTGATTGCAATTTCTTATTGCTGATTGATTTAGTTTACGATATGAAATAAAAATATTTATTAATTTAAGGTTTATCTTGTAGTGTCAATAAAAACAACATATGTATATTTGATTCAACATTAATACTGGAAATAAAAATATCCACAAATAACAATTAATCGTAACTGTTTATGAACATATTTAGAATTTAAACGATTATTATGATCGAATGAAGAATCTCATTAGATCATATTACATCTGATTCTAATTAAATCTTCTTAATTTACGTATAATTTCTACTTAATCCTCGATTGTTTATTCGGCTCTTTTAAATTATATTTTATATTAACTAATAATTTTAAACGATCGAAATTTGGATTATTATCATTCCAAGAAATTACTATATGAATATCAATTCCAAAATTACACGAGAAGATGTTAAGTTTTACGTATAAAAGTAATACAAAATTTAATTAATTATATTCGGAAAATTTGCTAAAATTTGAATAAGTACATTTTTAATCTACAACAGAGCAGTCAATTGTCACATATTCATCACGTAGAAAGTAATTCATTCATTATGTGAATTTCTATAATACAAATATATTAAGCTTAGTAAAATTATCCGTATTCTGATTAAATTGAATTAAATTGAATAACCAACAACTCTGTATATATGATAAAGTAGTATAAAATTATAATTGTATTAGATTCAAAAAATTAAATAAAAATGTTTCTTACTTAGCTTCAAGTAGTTGATAATTCTAAATTTGTAAAGGTACTTCCATTACATTTATCTATTGTTAAATATATAAATAAGATATGCAAAAACTATAATTATTTAGATTTCAAGAGAAACTAATAAGCGTGTGATGCAGTTTGATATATATAATGTTTTTCTCTCGCGTCTATATTCGTTGATAAATTGAGCATAAACAATAGAACTTATTTTTATTCAAATTTGTACAGAAAGATTGAGATATTCTTGTGATTAAAAGTGTATAAATATTATTCAATGCTTTTAAGTAGCTTAATGTAAACAAATGCGAAACATGTCAAACCACTTGTACATGAATAAAAGAAAGGATTGGGTTTGGCAAAACAGACTCGAACACTTTGTACGATCACTTTGATCACTATAGAACGTCACAGTCAGGTTTCACGATCAGAATCGATTCTTTATTTGCTCTTGAACGTGAATAAAAGAAGCATGTCGAGATTGTGGATCAAAAATTAAAGAAATCTATTTCAGACAAATATTTCAGAGCAGAGCTAGAGGAATAGATCTTGACGTTAGTTCCATTTGTATTTCAGCAATTGATTTTACTTCCGATTTATGATTAATTATGGGAGAGAGTTCCCGTATCCATTATCGGCATTATTTACTGCTTATTTTTTTACAAATATTACTTGTTGAACTTTTTATCGCAGATTGATTTCAATTTTACTTTAAAGAATTTGCATCGTAATAATGATACAATGGTTATTAAATTATCAATAACTATAATGAATAATGAATTTTGAAAATGAACATTGATATTTATTTACTTTAAAATTTACAAATTTATATATATTGTATTCGTAATTTACATTTTTCAAAATCAATTTTTTAAAATATCCATCAGTGGAGAATATATTTATAAATAAATTTTAATGCTAATAAATAAAATTATTATGATAATTTAATAATAATAAATTCGTAAATACGCTTAGAATAATTATTATTTCATTTATTACTGTTTATAAGTAATGTATAAATAAAAATAAAAGTACCATTTAAAATAAATAAATTATATTTCTAATGGTCGCACGTAGAGTGAAATCACTACATATTTCGCATATAAGTTATAAATATTTACATAAAATAATGAAGTTAAGAGTTAATTAATTTTTTTATTGATCGTAGATCAAATAGATGAATAGACACATAAACAAACATAAGTTTATTTATATTAATTACATTAAAAATAGACCAATATGATTGTCACAAAATTAAATTGATTTATTTAATATTCCAAGGTTAAACGCTATGAATATTTAGAATTTAGGAGTGAATGAAAATTACGTTTATTGATTAAATATAGAAAACTTGTTAAGAAATGCAATCGATACTTGTAATAAGATGATTATATCAATTGAAATTTATTGAATATCATTGTAAACGTAATTTAAAAAAATGAAACCAAGTGAAAGTGAATTCTGTCAAATACGCATTTTAGCGCTATAATGTAATATTACGTAAAATAATATTTACAAATAATAATAAACAATCACTAATTTACGTAATAATTTGCTGTAAATATTAAAATAGGGATACTTATAAGATTTCTTGCAGTTAAAAGTATGAAAAATTTGTCGTTATGCAAGTTTTATAAGCTAATGTTGCCTAATTTGTCAAACAAAGTACAAAGTACAACACACACACACACACACACACGCACGCACACACGCGCGCGCGCGCGCGCACGCGCACGCACTAATGGAAATTCAAGAACTCTTCTCGAAATGTCAAATAAAATACGATGTCATAAGCCGTATTTTTACTAATGAAAAGTCATTAGAAAATTTGTCATTAAAAGAAATGTTAAAGACCAGAGCATCGGTTTACGTGTAAAGAAAGGCCTTATATTTCCAGGCAATAGTAATATAACAAGTGGGATGGAAA